AAAAATTCTTAAAACCCCGAGAGGGAAAGGAAGGGGGCATCGAGTTTTTTTTATTTTAAATTTGTAGCTGTGATGGATTTGTCTTTACGACAAGCATAATCATGTTTTGCCGGCAGGAGTCAAATTGACACGCTGAATTATTTCCCCTATTTTGGCACCAAAAATGGGGGAACAGTCCCCCCTCGGTCACTGTCCCGCTGGGCCTGGGTGATCTGCGCACAGAGGTCAGCTGCTTGCATTCGTAGCGCGTCCTGCTGAGACTCCTGTAGTGCACGCTGCCCCTGAAGCTCCTATTCATGACTGCACCCCATGTTTGCCATTTCAGTGTCCCTCTCCAGCAACTGCGTTTCGAACTAGGCAGACTGCAGCTGCTGATCCTTTAGGCACTGCTGAGCATCTGCGAGCAGTTTCTCCCAAGTGCGAACCTCGTCTTCCAGGTCAGAAATGTGGCTGTTCTTCTTGTCAATGATGGTAGTTGCCCTGAATTCGTAGACATCGTGCGTGTGCTTGAGCCTGTCATATTCACGAGTCAAGCATCCCAACTCACACTCCAGCTAGCTGATGCAGGTAGCGTGCTGCAAGATATCCTGCTTGAGATAACTTATTTCAGCTGCAAGGGCACCCTTGTCCTTCTCGAGGTCACAAGCGCGAGCTTGCTCTTCATCCTTGTCATAATACCTGACTGCCTGCGCATGTCCGTTGTTACCGTCCGCGCCGCCGTCTGCTGCTTTTCAGCCTGTAGCGCTGTCGCTCTCTTCGCAATAGTCGTCTCCTATGTCCTCTTGGTCTATCACATCCACAGCAATGTGCTATTCGTCGTGGTGTCTTATCCGCTTTCTTTTCTATTTTTTTCCTCTTTTCTCAGTCCGCAGTGCCGTCTCCACACATGGCGTTCACCTCCATACCGACCTCAGCGATGTCCCGCCAGCTGGTCCGACGCTCACCAGTGTCCTCTTCGCTGCCTCGTAGGTCATAAAGTTCGTTCCGAGAGATCTCATCGAGCGCCACCGTAGACTGCTAGACGTGCACGTTCTCAGGGCCTTTGCCAGTGCACTCAGTGTCGTCCTTCAGAGCCGTCCCGTCTCCCCGTTCTCCTACATCCCATGACTTTCTGACCTCTTTCGGGACTGCTGCATCCTCTTGGTGGACGATGTGTCACTACCACGTCACTTGAAATCGCGAGGGGCCGCCCAGTTGGACAAACTCGCCATGTCCTTTTAAGGCCTGCACGATTAGTTGTCGAGGAGCACATCTTGGAGTGGCGTCCTTATCGTTGGGCTCGATGTCCATAGCCCAGGGGTGGGGATCTTCCCGTTGGGCACCAAATGTAGGGGTTCGAGCCTGAGGCTAGCCCGAGAACCTCTTATGGAAAAGGCAGAGACAGAAACCATGTTTACTGATCAGAACGCGGGCTGCAACTGCCCGCTGCCAGTAGCTGCCGCGTACCACGAGCGCACTCATGACCGTCATTGTCCTCTTATTTCCGATGTCTGCACGCTCGTGGCCGCCGCTCCCGTAACCTTCATTTAGGATGGCTAGACACCTTAGTTAAATCCAACTACCGAATGAGGATTTCTCAGGAACGAGGCAAGAAGTACACAAGTTTAGAGAGCGCGAAAGACAAAGTCGAGTTTCCACAGTAGACATGTTGGCAATATCGATGTCACTTGGGCCTTTGCAAGTGGCAGCTGCTGCTTTTACCTGCTTTGATGCAAAAGGCTAGAAAAGGCGTAGCCTTCAATACGTGCATTTTAAGATCGAAAACACTGAAAATTCGAAATGTTCATAAATTGTTGTGTCGCATAGCTGAATCCAGGAGCATCCTCTTGATGATGATCAGTAGGCAGATGCTCCTTGTTGGGCTTTGCTAGCCTCAGAACAAGAAATGAACACAAACCACTTTGTATGTTTCGTGCATCAGTGAATACAGTTGAAACCCGCAATAACGAAATCGCCGGGGAAACGGTAAAATTTCGTTTTCACAAGAATTTCGTTGCCGCGAGTCAACGGAGAATCCGCTTCCGGCATCAAGCTTTTCTCAGGTGCCACAGTAACTTCATCTCGATTTCGCCAGTTTTTTCTTCGTCGTTTTGTTTGATTCCAACTGTTGGTGTTGCTTCGGCCTGTTGGGCTCGTCCGACGGCGCCATCTGCACTCCAGCATGATCATTTGTCATCGCCTGCTGCAGCGTGGCCAGACATGTTGCCGGACACAGACGCCATCGCCAATATAAGCAAACAATAATAGCGGTACCCACGCTAGCGCGGCAAAAGCAGACGCTCACAAATTTTGAGTGTGGATAACACGTATACAAGCATATTTTCGACAGTTAACCTTTGGCGGGAAGGTAAAATAAGGCCCGCACCGTGGTAAAAAATTCGTTAATGCGGGATCGCTATCCAAAAACATTTCGTTGCCGCGAGACACGTAAAACATCGGCTTCTATGAACGTTTGACGGGGATTCGGAAATATTTCGTTGCCGCGGGGATTTCGTACTCGCGGGGTTTCATTATTGCGAGTTTTGACTGTATACCGGGACCGTCCATGACACAATAATTCTGATTCGTTCTTGGGAGACGCGAGGTTGTCGAGAAAATACATGGCAACTTGCGCTTTAGATTATAGCCTTAGAGGCGCCGAGACGAAAGAAAAGGTCGCCGTTAACAGCGTGACTCCGTTGCGTGTCCCAGTCTTCCTTTCGCGCGATATCCCGACCGGGAACTGCTCTATCACGCCTCAGCGATTTGCCCAAGCGACGCCTTGCAACTACTTCTCAACGTTGATCAGCGTGGGCCCATGTCTTGTCTCTCTTAAATTCAGAGTACACATATTAGCTTTACGAGATTTTCTACAGCCACGTGGATAGTTAAATGTTATTGTCTGGCCTTCGCAGTTGAAACTCATCTTGTTTTATGTGTGTATAGCATTGCTCAGTGCTTTTGTAGTGCATGAATCCCATAACATTCATTGTATGTCGAAAGTAGCGCAGGCTCGCGACTTGCTCTTCCGAACCATGGCAAATGCTGCAGCGCTTGATTTTTGCATTCATTGATAGATGGCAGCACACTGCAAGCGATTCGCTTCTTGGCGGGTGCCAGAGCGAATTGTTCTCCACGCTCAGATAAACATGTGTTGATGTTGTGTTGGTGAGTGACGCATTGTTGGTGTCATCGAAGTCATTCAGTGGAGAGAATTCCTTAGATTACTTTTAGCAGTGGTATACAAAGAAATCGTCTTGACGTCGAGGATTTTTCACTGGACATAGAACGCACTGACAGTGACAGTGATAATGAACGATCAGCGAGTAACAGTGGTGATCCAGCCAGTTTACGATTCGGAGCAATTTTTGGAGCATAAAAAAGTCTGCGTTAGAGCAGATTTGGAGCAGGACTGTGTTTCCGAGTGAATTTGGAGTAGGCACAATGGAGTCTATGATTATTTGGAGCGATACATGTGAAAATTCTCGGTGAATATTCTTATCTGTGGGAAAACTAGAAATGCTGCTGCAATGTAAACAAGGAGGCAGAAAATAGGCGTCCAGAGAGCAGCCATTAATCAGATTCTTAGCACCAAAGTGTCAAATTGCGGTTTCACTGCACTGCACAAAATGTGCGTGATGTGCAAAAGTGAAGCGTGCGTGACAATGATGGTTACACATGTTAGTGACGAGGTAAGCACAACGTATACAGTTTTTGCGATTCGACAGGTGTCGCAGGTTCATACAAAAAAAAAACCCAATTAGAGAATCAGCAATCCGACGATTAAAGAACAAATACGAATAAAACTAGTTCATTGCAAATGAGAACACAATGTTTGGAATTTTTTACGCAGATGGTGCATTAAATATTGGCCACAGCTCACTTTGGATGATACTACACCCTACTCAATAATTGCTAGAGGTATAATAAGCGGCATTTTTCTTTATTTAGAGAACTTTGGGCTCAGCACTTCCAATTTTCCAAATTCAAAAAAAAGAAAACATTTAAAAAGAAACTGGTGGGATTTAAACAGCTGATACGAATAGGCTGGGGTCAGTGATCAATGTAAACATGAAGGGGGGGGAGGGGGGGGTGCATTTAGTCATGAAGGAGACTGAGTCAGTTTGTCGAAATGTCTGCTTCTGTGACGCCACGCATTCACGAATTTCGCACCTAAACATGTCGTCAAGGTGCGATGGGTGGGTTATATGAGCACCGTGCTGCTGACACAGTTGGGAAATAACTATGGTGTTCTGCAAACATGCAAGGTGACGGATAGCCACCGATTGGTTTGGTAGGAGGAGTGCATCCATATTTTTTTTTTTTTGGTGGAGGAAGAAGACACTGCGCAATTTTCGAACAAACGGCGTTCACGCTGAGCCCCCTTGCAAGTGTAGTTAACAAGTGTGAGGGAATCACTTGGGAATATTTATAAGCCGGCCATCAAAGGCTCAACTGAGAGGAATAAACAACTACCCGTCTTTAACTAGAGTCAAAAGACGCGACAGGGGGTCCCTCCAGCAGCAACTGCGACCTTTGATTTTATGAGCGCGCGTTTTCTCGCTATCTCGGCAGTTGTCAGCGTCAGCGCGAAGATAATGTGTGAAGAGTGTTCCTGAAGTGACCGTACTCTCTTAAACCAGGGTTTCTCAACTGTTCAATATAGCCAATAATTCAAAATATCCGAGTTTGATATATCCGAGATCAACTGTATTTCTAGCTTTTTCTCTCAACATTATATTCCTATTATTCAGGCACATCCAGCATCCAGAATATTTAGTCTATATAAGTGATATTTTGCACAAAGTTTCATAACAGTAAAAGCATGCTCATACACACATCATTAACTAGAATTAAGTGACTCAGTTCAGCCAAGCATCATAGAACACCATGTGATAAAAACGGTATATTAATAAGCATGCAAATGGGATGTGGCATGGATAACTAAACTACTGCTGGTTCATTTCTTCTTATCCAGCAACTTCTAGTCAAAGTACATAGCCAAATTCCAGTGAGCTCACAGGCGCTGGAAGTTCATCAGCATCCGATTCATCCCCATCAGGAGTGACAATGGCAACAGCAGTGCCAGTGTTTGTCTGGACATCCTCCATGGAAGCACTATTTTCGTCAGCTGTTTCCTTGGCAACCTCGAAGTACATTCGTAGAGGCAGATGCTCAGCATCTAAAAAAGAATAGGTCATGGAATTACAATACTCTCGATAAACAGCAATCTGTTAAACAGAACTGGTGCTTAAATGGAACAACTGCATCTGATGTGATTGGTTTCATACTTGTATTCTGCACGCCGTTCGTCTCTCAGTAAATGGAACTCCTGTTAAATGGAACACATTTTCTTGGTCCCTTCAGGCTCGTTTAACAGCTCTACAGTAATGAAGTTCAGAGAGAGATGGACACCCCCTTGCTGGTCATTGTGAACAGACATGCTTGCAAGGTGTCTTTACATTGCTCTGGGAAACGACAAGTGCTACTCAACAAAGCATAATCAGCCTATTGAAAACTGCATGCCCCCAAAATATCAAAATGTTTGTTCTTACATAGACATACTATATATTCTAATCAAATCATATGGATTATAGATGTGGCAGTTACAGTACATATAAATACTTTTCAAGTGGGCAGTATGAGAAAAGAGGAGTCATAGTGCTTGTACTTTGATAATGAATGTCTACCAACTCTCCCAATTTATGAATCTGCTGCAGTATATCCCATCGAAATTGAAACAAAAAAGCAAACTCTCTTCACATGAACTGTTTAATGTTATAAATACTGAATGAATAGTGCAACAACGAAAAAAAAAAAAAGAAATCAAGACACAAAAAGAATATGGGACAACTGCTTAATATGAACGATTTGTTTGTGCACAATGCCATGCTTTACATAACATCTGTCGCACGCCACACGTCCAGGAGGGCCCAGTAAGAAAGTTAAAAAGAAACTGTTTGTTAGTTTAACTTTTCTTCTCTTACTGCACTTTTCATTGTCCAAAAAGGCAATGGGCTGGTAGAGATAACAAAGTATCAACTATTACACAATATAAGGGTTCTATTACAGGCAGAATAGGTATCTAATCATTAGCTTACTAACCAGAACATGATGTAACCTATCTAAAACCCCAAAATATCACTGGTTGTGTCCCCACACAGGTGTGAAGAGCACTAGGAGTGAAGCGTGTATGCTTGTGATACTCTATATTGCTTTATGCTAAAAAATTTATACTGCACTGCACCTCAAATACTCGGTAGACTGTGTCACATCAATTACTTTGTATGCCGAAAGACTAGGCATATTGAAGCTGCCATATTTCTTGGATCAACACAGTCACAGCATAACCTCTTACAATCAAGACAAGATTCGCATTTGTTCTCAGCCATGCAGTGCTCACTCATTCCCTAAACAGCAATGTTCGAACAAGCCGGGCATTATACGACTACTAGTTTAGTGGATGAGCCCACACGTGTCATATTAATGCTGGCCAAAATGTCCTATATGACACCCGCAGAGCGGCTCTATAGCAATGTGCTCCTTTTCAGGTTGTGGTATACAAGTGCTGCTACATTCAGCTTGCTTATGAGTGATGAAAGGCAGTGCTTTCTGGACACTAAGTCCACATCTTTTCAATGCAAATGTTGCAACTACAATGAACAATCTGTTACAGCACAAGCACCATTCTTGTATATGCAGTCACCAAGTGTAGCGTGTAGCTTGTTCAGCCAATAACGTAGGCGCTTGACAATTGAAACTCAAGGAGAACCAAGAAGTTTTGTTTTCTATGCCACTCTGGCACACTCTTTCTTTGCCAGCTGGTAAGAAAGAAAGTGGTCCACACTTGCAGTTATGGTTACGAGCAGCAGTGACCAACACATCCATGATTTGCATGCACATATATACCCAACACAGTAGACAAGAAAATGATCACTGCTGTGGCTCAATTTATATGAGCACTGGCCACATAATCCAAGGGTTCTAGCTTCAGACCATGCCAGCAACAGGTTGTCTTTTTGTCCACTTTCTTCACATCTATATCACAATAAGTATAACATACTCAAAACAGAACAATTAATGTCCCCTATGATTTCCTTAAATATCTGCTGGTTTTCATTACCAGAGTAAAATGCCAACTTGGGTTGTAATGTTGATTGTAATGTACTAATGTATTATTTTAATGTACTCAGGGCTATAACAAACCACACATAACATAGCATTTGCCAGTAAAAATTTAAGATGTCAGCCATCAATCTGGTCCTCGTTATTATAGTGTTCGCACGAACGTGCAATTAAGAGGCAAAATGTGCTGTGTTCTGTGATAGCTAAATAGCCCCCTCTCAATCATAGTTAGCTTTTCTGCATGACACTACTGTACTGCTGCACAAGCAGTTTAAAAAGCATTTGTAATGTGAGTAACCAAGGCCAGACTAGAAATTCTTCTTTAACTGCTTGTGCAGAAGCAGTACGCTGGTTTCATGCAAAAAAGCATACTACATTTGAGAAGGGGCTATTACCTACCACAGAACACAGCACATTTTGGCTTCTAATTACATATTCGTGCAAACACACACACAATGAGGAGTAGTCAGCACCACGCATTGGCACCAACATCTCCTTATATACACTTATTTAAAAAAAAAAGGCCAGACTGTCATTTCTTAGCGGTACGATCACCACGTGACACTCTCCTGCAAGCATATCTGGCTGAGCACTTACTTCCAGTTTCCTGAATATTCATGATAAGGTCATCTTCTAAGACATATGAATCAATTGTTCTGATTCAAGTTGAGAGATACACTGGATACATATAATATCAGCATAGGCGTGTGCACAAGGGGCACTGCGTCTCGAAAGGTGCAAAGTCAGCTTTATGCACTGACAAAATAGGGAGAGGGGGGGTGCTGGGGGTGAACCTCTGCCCCCTCCAAAGGGGGAACCCTGTGCATGCCTATAAATATCAGAGCGTAATTTGACTTACGAGACGGGCCAATTAACAGTCAGGATAATTAATGAAAATTGGTTGACTGAGCTCATTGAAGGCATTTGGGATCCTGCGGCGCCTGTTGGAGCCGTTCTCAACCATGTGCTTTTTTTTCTTTCTACATGGCTTCCAAGATATACTTCAGCACCATGTGGAATTCGAAGTTAACCCAAGGAATGCATCAGGACACACAAATGGTGACGGGCAAGTACCACTACTAGAGACCTAAGTTACGGATTACGGTCGCCTCCATAAGCTTTTTCTTTCTCTCTCAGTCAACATTGATTGTTGGTGTATGTGGTTTAGATAGTTTTGCCCTGTAAGGGACATATGAATGGAAATTTTCTGTAAAAAGTCACAAAATCTGTAGATATCTTTATGCATAGACAAGCAAAAAGTATGAATTAACTGAATTTGCACAATGGGGATATTTGAATTAAGCGGTTTAAAAATTAATGAAAACCGAGCACACCAACCAAAAATTTGACATTTTTTTGTAGTTAACCGAAAGTTTGTATTATAGAGAGCCTAGTCTAGAGAGACTATTGGCTGCTTATATTTTTCTGCAAGCAATGCATCTCTGTCTCGATCCTATTGACGGTGGCAATTGAGAACAGTAAATCTGACAGTGGCAATCAAGAATAGCAAATTAGATTTTTGCTTACTAAAAATATTCAGTACGATTCCAATGGAAGTACATCACATGTGCTGCCGTTCAGATAAATGAAGATGCTCATTGATACAGAATTGATAATGATGGAGGCGTCAGCTGTGAATGAGACATTCAACAGGCAGTAACGAGATTCAAAGGAGGCGGAAGAAAAAAAACTGAGCACATTCCAGTGTATACTTGTGACACATGAAGGCAATTATACTGAGAGAAAGCTGTAACAATGAATGGCTATGGTGCTCAATGCTTGCAAATCACGCATTTCCTTGTTTACAAGACTGATACTATCAACTTCCTAACGCCTCATATTATGACTTTTCGACAGTATACTGAACATAGATCTTGAAAGAGCATGTTTTCTGAGAATGTATGAGCTGGTGAGAAGAAGCAGATCTGTGTTGGGTTATTTTTTTTGTGTTTTCAATCACAAGCAATGGTACTAGGAAACCATTCAAAGCATGGATGTATCAGTGAGGTTGTACTAGTATACATGGGAATATTTGTGCAGTGCAAGTGTCAGTGCCAGCAGTCTTCAAAATCATGGCAGTGCATGTGTGAAACATCCATTCAATCAGAAACATCCAAGCCAAAACTTCACAAGTTCACCTTAGCCGTTATACATGAACAGCTATAAGAAGGCAATTTTTTTGTTAATACCTTTAACTCAAACAATAGTCACATAAATTAAGGAGGTTTAGTGAGAGAAATTTTTGCCTAGTGCAAGTAAATACACAGCTCCATCTTCCAACGGAACGCTAGAGAAAGCGCAGACCAATTTTAGCAATACAGTAATGCAAACAAAAATTAAAGCTGTTGCACTTCACCAACATCATTCTTTCAGTATCCAACAACTAGAACTGACCAATTTGATATGAGCATGGTGCCACAGATGTGAGCAAATGCAGATTCCCACTGACATAACGTTTTGTTTATGTCAAATATACTTTTTCTGTTTCAGATATCATTTGCTGACAATATTTATCTGCTTTTAAAAAAGAAATGTATTGACCTTTTAAGCACAGTATAGTAAAAAAAATGCAAATTAAAAAAAAATTTTTTTTCGTTCAAAATCCAGGATCCGGCAAACGCTATTTTAAGCTCCACAGCTAAAGTCTTCTTCTCAGCAGCCAAATGTTATGCGTTAGCTACAAATAAATGCACGTCTTATGCATTGTCGTATTATGAGATAAGTGAAGCTATTGCATTTGCTCTGCCACTGCGGCTGGTCATCGAAACCTCAGGTGTTGCCTAGAGTGGTACAATTCCAAGGCTATCATGTACAGCTGCAGCCAAGTCTGTGTAGAGCGCTCAAGCAGCCGGTTTCTGCTCAGCGGGCTGAAACCTTGAGGCAGTTTCGGGTTCTGAAGTGGTGTATCAGGAGCATGCACAGCCTACTTGTCAGGCTGACCACGTCAAAGCCTGATATTTCCCCAAGGTTTCGCCCCACAGAGCAAAAACCGGCTGCTCGCGTGCTCTACACAGATGTGGTCGCGGCTGTACATTCAACTAAAGCAGTTGTTTTCCGCTCATTTTCTATGAATGTGCAACATTGAAAACCATCGCATGCCATGAAACTAAAGAGCCGTGGTCACGTAAAGCAAAGTGACAACTTGAAATACTACAGCTCCGTTTATGGTGGTGACGTTTATTGTTTGAGACGCCATTAATTTCACTTTATTATTTTATGTCCACAAAGCACGTGCTTTTTTTCGCCGGTCAAGAACACAGGCAGAAGCCAGCCGGGTGGTGTCGTCTGTTTCCTTGACGATTGTCAAGAAGATAAGAGCTTGTCATGTTTAGTACCGTTTCCCCTATGGTAAATCATGTCCTTTACTTGAACGAAACATCATATGTGGCCCTCAAGCACCATACGTGCAGCACAGAATAGAAAATTACGTCACTACTCTGTAGCAAGGGGCCAGGTTTTCAGAATGCTAATAATCGGCCACATGCTCTCCCTTTCCTCTGCTCTGAAAGAGAGGAAAGTGAGCTGCTGCACTTCAGCGGCTGCTTTTTGTAGCACTAGGCGAGATTTGAAAAATGTGCTCTCAAAAGGAATGTGCAAATAGATCAATCATGTGACCACTGGCTCCAGCATGAGTTTTAGTTTATCAGCTCAGTCTTCCTGCCCTGCAGCAGTGAAACTTTGTTATACTGAAATTGCTGAAGGGCACTCTTCGTTTCAGTGAGGTATAAAATACATGGGATTCTATGCGCAGGAAGTTGTCAAAAATAAAATACATTGTTATTTCTAGAATTTTATCAAACTGAGGTTTGTAACACAATTCAGGTTCAACTTTACCACCCTTGGATATGCACAAAGCTAAACTATATAAATGTGCCAACAACACCTAAGAGGTCTGAGTGGAATCAAAGTAAGCTATCCAGTACTAACTATCCCTCTTCCATGTCCCAGTAAGCAAGTGCAGCAACCTTGAAACATGGGTTCAGAATCTTCACAAGGTGTAGAGCTTCCAGCGTCTTCTCGCTGTTCCTCTGTGGTGTCAGTGGAGTTTTCAGCCGCTGCACCTGATGCTGCCAATGCTATTTGCACATCATCTCTCTGGAGTAACATTCCATCAGGTGATACCTGGAAGCATTTATGGCACAAGTTTAAGCACAACTATATACATCAAGGAAAACAGCACAGCAATACTCAATTTTTCAAAACATTACTTTAGTTGACTTGGCAAGAAAAGATTATTTCTAAAGAAATCCGATGTCATGTTATTGCGCACCTCTTAAAGGACGAGGACAAAAATCAGATACAAGTGCTTGTGTTTGAGCAGTCCTGTCCTCTAAGCGATGTGCAATAATGTAGCAAATAATAGATACCAACTACCCCAAACAAGTACCGTCCTTTAGAGAAAATCGTGTCGGGATTGAAGAGGCTGCGACGCCGACGAAGAAGCAGAGCGAAGCGCAGCACGCCCACGCGGCCAGTGGCAGCCACCCACAACTTGGGCACAGAGCGCCGAGTGATAGAAACATCCGCCCCAAACGGGTGCCCATCACCAACTGATTTATTTACTTACGTACACATCCACCTCGTATGCACCCTATCAGTGCATGTCACAATACATCGCTACCGTGCGAGGCGCCACCTCGCCACTAAAGCTGAAAATGCAACTGAACAGAGCAGCACAACACAACAAAAATTATATCCAAACTTTCTTGCCATGAATTTGCCATGAATTTTTTGGTATAAAACCTTCACAATGAAATGTCTTTCTCTAGAAAAACTCAACCATGCATGAAAAAGGGGGTGCCTCTCGAGCCAGTGTGGTGACTATGGAACTTGTCTCGTCGAGACAACAGTTGCCATGACCACTCAATGGACAGGAAAAAAGGAAGTCGTGAAATTGTTTATCCTCCACAATTTTTACAGAGCATACTCTCGCCAATGAACACTGGCATAGGTAAAAAGTGGGTGTGTAAATACAAATGACAAAAGCTGTAAGGTGCAAAAATGAAGGCATTTGGTTCTGTTGTTAATGTAAAAGGCAATGATGCAGGTGCTGTCAACTCTTTCATGTGGTAGTGAGAACAGACAGAAATCTTTGTGTGCTAGCAGAGGTTGTCATTCTCTATTTGTGATTTTAAATAAAGCGAAATGAGAGGGAATACTGATCTCACAGCATCTGACCTGATCTAAGTAGACGTCTTTTACAACTTCAAGTGCACGAATACCAATCTCGAAGCGCTATTCTCATCCAAGGTTGTTGTACATTACTTTAGTTTTCTGTAGATTAATTTTAAGACCTACCTTTCTGCTCTCCTTGTCTAACTCCGTAATCAGGAGTTGCAATTCGTCTCCTGAGTTACTCAGCAATGCAATGTCATCGGTAAAGTGCAGGTTACTAAGGTACTCTTCATTAACTCTTATTCCTAACGCTTCCCATTCTAGGCCTCTAAAAACCTCTCCTGTAAGCACGCAGTAAATAGCATTGGCAAGATTGTATCTCCCTGCCTTACACCCTTCTTGATTGGTATTCTGTGGCTTTCTTTATGGAGTAATATGGTGGCAGTTGATCCCCCGTAGATGTATTCCAGGATGTTTATATATGCTTCGTCGATGCCCTGATTCCGCAGTGTCTGGCATGACTGCTGATATTTCTACTGATTCAAATGCCTGATTGATACAGTCAAATCTCAATAATTTGAACTCGGAGGGGCTCGAAAATTTGTTCGAATTAAAAGGAGTTTGAATTAATGAAAGCTAAATAAACAGAGGGCTCTCCATGCAGTGGCGCATGTGCATTGAGCTAACACACGAGGGGGAAGTTGCAGAAGACTTACAATTATTCACAAATCACAGGACATCCGTTATTAATTGGTTCGCGCCCGGCGTTAGAAGAAGGGTCTTTACGTGACAGGGACGGAAATGGGAGAAGTGTGACACGGGTGCATCGCAGATCAGCATTTGAGAGAGAGCGAACACTTTACTGCAGCCTTTTCTTTCATTTTCATTTCCTTAGCGCGCAGCATTTAGGTGTCGCAGGTGCCACTGTGGGATTGGGCGGGGTGCTGAGAGCATTGTCGGAGCGCGGTATGTTCGAACTAACCGTCACAAGTGCTTGCACGTTCGAATTACCGGGCGTTTTCGCCCATTGGAATACACATAGCTTTGGCGGGACTTCTTCGTGAGTTCGAATTAACCAGAAGTTCGAATTTAGCGTGTTCGAATTAATGAGATTCGACTGTAGTATGAATGTCGTCGATTGTTGAGTAGCCTGTATGAAAAGCGCATTCATGTAACAACAGAAGTTGCATGTACATTTGGAATCACTTGTCTAGAGCAGCCGCTCAGCCACTTCAGCTGCAGCTTTATGCAAAAATGAGGGCAGACACCGATGCCATAATAATACCAAACGGAGTCAAGCGGCATGCTAGGTTCATGACCAATGCCTGTAGTGAATTCGAGGTAGCAAATACGAGGTAGCAGCTGCAGACAGCAGCAGCTGCTACCTCGTATCTCTTGCCATCTCTTGTTATTCTACTGGAATCCCACAATCAGTTCTGACACAGCATTAATAAGAACTTACAGACAATGATGCCAAGAGAAGTGTAGGGGATGTAATTGGAAAAAATTGAAATGTAAATGTGGAGAAGGAAAAGTGGACGAAAAGATGACTTCCCATCGGCAGGATCCAAATCTCTATGGCCTTCGAGTAATACGTCCTATGCTCTACCACTAAGCTACAGTGGCGGATATCCCATCGTCCACTTTATGGGGTTTATAACTGCATTTAATTGTGGGAGCATCAGTCTGTGCCACCTGTTGTCATTGTGGCGAGTGTAGAACACAATTTTTGCCTGTCACATTACAATTACTTCTAATAAGATATTTTATACTTCTCTTAGCATCATTGTTTGTTAGTTCTCATTAATGTTGTGTCTAACAAAGAAAAAACAAGCCCTTAAGTTTACACTTATTTCCTTCATAGCTAGGGCCACGTTCGGGCAGACTTGATGCCTTCAGGTAGTATGCGAGGGATTACTGGTCAGCTGCCAGCTCATAATAAAATCACGTGCTACATGATACTAACAGACATAAAGAGTGCTCTACACTCGCCACAATGGCAATAGGCAGCGCTGACTGATGCTCCCAGGTTTAAATGCACACATATACCCTATAAAGTGGACTGAGGGATGACCGCTATCGTGGCTCAGTGGTAGAGCATCAAACCTGTTATTTGAAGGTTGCAGGTTAAGATCCTGCTGGTGGTGGCTACGTACGACAACGGAGGAAGGAAAGACCCACACCCTAAGGAGCTTCGCCCCTAAAACAATTTGCCACCAGCAGGATCTTAACCTGCAACCTTCAAATAACAGGTTCAATGCTCTACCACTGAGCTATGGGAGTACGTGCCACAGGGGATGCGAGATGGGAGATGGCGTTACTTGGAGTGTTCACTAGATGGATGCACGGACGGACGCATGGACAGACTAGCAGACGGACGGACGGATGGATGGACGCACAGAGCAGGTATGTGCCACAGGGGATGTGAGATGTGAGATGGCGTGGATCCATCATGTTTCACTAGATGGATGCATGAACGGATGGACAGACAGACTAGAAGACGGACGGACAGATGGAAGGACACGCGGATGGATGGACGCACGAATAAACAAACGGCCGGACGCATGTATGGACGCACGGATGGTTGCGTGGACAGATGGAAGCAAGAACAAACGAACGGACGGACACAAGCACGAACGGGCTAACGGACGCTTCGCCCCACTGATCATCATTCACTCCGTGGACATGCTGTGATTTTTTCATCCACTTTTCTTTTTTCACATTCACATTACAATTACTTCTAATAACATCCCCTACACTTCTCTTGGCATCATTGTCTGTTAATTGTCATTAATGTAGTATGTAACAGAAAAAGAGCCCTTAAGTTTACACTTCTTTTATTCATTCAGTTTTGATTTTTAAACAACAGACATTCATTCTATGTACAGGGGGGCATTGTTACCAATTTAACTTTAGTTGCTAGTAGCACATTGCCTGTGTTCTAAAGTATCCAATTTTAGTAGCCCTGCAACACCGAGAAAGTGTGCTTTTGAAGAAACTGTGGCCTTTCATAGTATTATGGAGTTGTTTTTTGCCTAAGCAATTGGTCTTCAGGCAACAAATTTTTGGCCATGCAACCCAAACCATTTAATTTTTGTGATTAGGCCCCTACATGAGTAACAAAATAGTATTATTAATATTTTGTAATTAAATTGGACACTAAAGTGAATTAACAATCTATGTCAGAGTGAAAGCTAAATGTAGGACATGTAAAACAGCAATATTATCAACAGCAGAGCCCTACTTAGCAAAAAATTAAGGTATATGCACGAGAACTCATGCACCACGAGTAGGACATTCAGAAAAAGATCCTGACGATGCCAGATTTACTGCCAACAATTATTCACTAGTATTCAACTAGCTGTACCAAATAAAGAACCTTCCGTGCATCAAGAGACGTAATAAAATGCTGCTTGTTCATTTGTTTGATTCGTGGAAAAAAGAATCGCCGCACGTTACTATGGGGAATGGCGCAAGTGGTTCAAAAGTTCAATTTTTGCCTGGTTAAACTGGACAGGTCATACCATCTAGCAGGCTCCATTTGAACCAAGCATGTCTGCCATCTCGGAGACCATGGTGGAAAATTGTTCAATGGCTGTTGTTGCTGCTGTGGCTCCCGCTACTTTCACTTTCCAACTAGTGTCGGGGGTCGCGCATTAAAGCCTGGCAATGTTGTGCACGCCAACAGTGATGTGAAAGTTTCCACTTTGAGGTGGTCAAGTTGAAGTGTGCTAACGCGATGAGGACCACTAAAATGTGATTTTATTTCAAAGTAAGCACTTCTTTGGCACAAAAGTAGTGCTACGAGGTTTCTAGACCGCTATTTCAGCAATCAGCATCGACTTAATATTTGCCTTTAGTGTCCCTTTAACATATAGCCCATATGTGTTTTCAATGCTTGCAAGAAGACGGAACTTCAGGGGAGTTCAACACATTCAGTGATGAAAAAATATCAAAACCTGGAGTAGTACAGGGACTCCAGAATTCCCATGAACAAGGCCAATCGTTCTTGGGTCAATGTCAACTTCCAACGTATGCCCGTCAGCTGTTTTTAGCCGTGCCTGGCCATCTGGAAAAACAAGGGGGAGGGGGAGTTGGTATAGGATATATTTAGAGTCATTGTAAGTATCAATGTTAAATCACAGAGTGTTTCATCACGAATAGCACTGCTCTACACAACTACTTCTAGAACTTATTCTACCTGGCATTAAATAAAGCTATATGAAATTAGCCTGCACCCAAAGACATTATACACAGCAGTGTAAACCTTTTTGATCTGCACAGTGCCATGAACTGAATAGATGATAAAAGAGAGAAAATATGGGATATGAACATGCGTGTTTGTTTCAACGTTCAATCTTTTTAAGGCGAAAACATTTGATGCATTGTGAAATGCGAAAATTCACTGCTGTACCCCATCAGCAGCGCCAACACGAGTGAAAAAAAATTATCACCGTGTGATGATGTCGCCATATGATATCACGACTTCACAGATTGTTAAGGAAGGAAGGAACAGGCAAGAGGGAAAGGAAAGGCAGTAGTGTCAACCAGTCTAGAAGGACTGATATGATACTCTACACAGGGAAAAGGGGTGGAGGAGTTTTAAAGATGGAGAAAGAGAAAAGAGCACGCACACAGGAAGTCACACTCTACATTTATCATAGCACCATAAGTCTATAGCCACCAGTTAAAGTCTCTTGCCTTCAAGAAGTTGAGCACTGCTTTTGTTGCCTTCACCCACAATGAGCTCTAAGGTCCCCATTCCAAGATAATTTCTGCCATCATCAGCCTGTGATCTATAGAGACCGAATTATAGGAAAATGCCTATTTTGTTTATTACGGTTCCTATCATGCTTGATATATGAGCAAGAATTAGAGGTTGAGAAGAGCTTTTATACTGCTTTTGTGGTGCCTATAAATGCTTATTTCTGATGTCTGAGCTTAAATTTTTATAAGTGCCAATAAATGCCTATTTTCTATATTGATGCCTATATGAACACTATTTAACCTCAAATTTTGCTTTCGAGTACAGTTGGAGACTGGTATTCATGTTACCAGGCCAAATCGAGCTTTTGGAACTCTACGGGGTGCAGCTTACACTACATCTCATGAGTTCCTTTAAGCACTGTCAAGGCTACAAGACCTCTTAGCCAATAGAAAGGCCCATTTGCCTCTACAAATGTATTCATCTGCATCGCGTCGTCTGCGTGGCATCTCCCAGGCGTCTGCTCGCATTCGTAGGGAACAGGAGGTGCTTCCGTGCAGTCACATGATGGAGAACGAATGCGAAATCGTGGAGTGTCATCAGAAAAAGTAGAGTGTAAATTTTAAAAGAGATACCCACGTGGTTTAATTGTTTTGTTTGTCATTTACTCCTTAAACGGTGCTTTGCTAGGTGACATAGAAAATTTTACTTACAGTGGAAGTCGTTGCATGCCAAATGAAAAGCTGTGCACCACTATAATTTCTTAAGTGGTTCATTGCAAGCTGCGAAAGTATGACGAGAGAAGGGGAGCTTGAAACCTTTGCCACTCGCCCTCAAAAGACTTCGAAAGCCAAATCCCTTCCCTGCCCTCTTCGGCATCAAGGTAGCTCGGAGCTGGAAGATGACACGACGCGGTCGCATCAATACGTCATGCACATGCAAGGCTACATTCGCATGATATGTCCATGACAGGTTGTGCACGCAAGCAGTATAGTGTCGTTTTGATGTTCTCTGTATTGTAATGCATGTTTTGTGGGTTTGATCCTTCTATGCATGCACGTCACCTATGCATATACGCCACCTCCACCATGCTGGGTGTGCGCCCGTGAGATTAAAGTCAAGCGGCATTCAGTTTGACATTTCAACTTTTGCCAGAGCGTGTAGCATTGCAAATCTTGGTAGATGATATCGTGAGTGCCAAGTGCAGGCATTCTTCTTACCTGCTTGAAATTCTCAAATCTGGTAAAGGGCCCTTTACAGACACAAGAAAATTGACTAAATTAGTACGAGGCAAAAAGACTCTTCTGGCCTATTAGTGCTCTGGCTATTTGCTCCTGTTTTGCCCATCTCAGCCAAGCCAAAAAGAAAGAGACCCAGGAGCGTGCTTAATCGACTGTGGACACATAAATCACTGTGCTGGACAAGAAAAAAAAAAAAGGCCGTATTCTGCAAGCCCTGCCGGAAAAAAATTGCATGGGTATGCTGAACCATTGGCACCTTTGTACCATCATAAACTAAAACATTTCTGTTTTCTTTCCTGACGTAGACACTGATCCCACTTTTATTTCTTCAAAAATTTGAATTTCGCCAAAGTTTGTTGTGCCCATACTTCCGATTTTGGGGCATAAAACAGTGTTTTGCCCACCTATTTTTGGCGCCTGAAATCCAGTTTTTTAGTGCCCATGAATCCGGCCTCAAGTGATCTATGTGAGATAGAGCGGCAATTAGTGATGTTCACTGTGCATTGTAGCGAGGACAGTCTCAGAAGATGTGCTGTAATGTCTCCTCACTACCACAGTTGTCACAAAAACGGTTGTCAGCCATTTAGATTTGAAGGGAGAATGACTTTGTGAAAGCCAATTTCAGCCATAAATGGCAAATCAGAGAGGCATCATTTCGGCATAGTCCAGTAGGTGTCTGAAAATGCCAAGTGTGTCATTATTATGACATCGTGATGTCCCGTAACATAATGTTGCCTGATGAAGTCATCATATGACACTGTAGCTAGGTCAAAGGCAGGCAAACCACAGAGGCAATGCAAAAGCACGTGAGGTGCCTCCAATACTGGAGGCAATGGAAAACCACTTTAGGTGCAGAAAGCTTTCAGAGGGTGGTGAAGCAGGATCGTTACATCGACCGAGAAGAAGAGTAAGATGACTTTTGCCATCCATTCATCTCAGGCAAGTGTAAAAAAGACCATAAGAGTTTTTGCTTTTTGTCGCTTGCTTGGACAGACACCTTTATCACAATTTCATCTCCTCGATTGGTAACTAATTGCAATGTAAGAAAAAGGAATGCAGTGTATTGCATGCCAATCAACAGGCACGTCTATAAATTGAGCATTGAGCCACAGCCCTCCCTAATAGCATGAAGGTCCACCATTCTGGATGAAATTTTACACTTCAGCTTCCTGCCTACTTTTTCTCGTCATGCAGACAACTTCAAAGAGGCCACTCTTGTCTCAAAAGTTGCTGGATGCACAGTGGGCTGAGCACTCTGCACAGGAATAGAACACAGGCCCACAAAAAAAAGCCAAGACGGTCAGGTTTATCAATCAACGCTAGCTTTACTTTCAACATCCGCATAGCATATGTGATTGAAGGTGATTTTTCCGAGTTGTTTAATTTTGCATTCATTATCAGATTCTGGGTACTGCTGCACTTGAGTTAATTCAGCATTTTCAACTCAAGAACCGTTCTTGCTTGCATCTTCATACAGTAAAGCACAGACCACACTTGGACTTCCCGTGCTGCTGCAGTAAGTCTTGTTGTGAAACCATGCTGGCCAGATACTTGAGCCATCAAAGTGGAATGGTGACTATGGACGTAGCAAGACCCCAAGTAAAGAGTGAGCTGCTGGTGTGAAGGCGATCCCCCTTCTGACAATATGCATAAGAAGTGTTTCCACAAGCACAAGCCATGCAAGCATGAGCTGTACATCAGGTTACCTATTGAGCGAATGACCACAAAGCTTAATTCACCGTCATATATACAGAGAGGGGAAAAGTGGTGCGAAATACAGGCAAACACACACACTGCAGCACCAAAGCTAGAAGTACAAAAAAAAAATCAACAAGGTGCCTTAACTCTTTCCTTACCACGCCACTAGGCATCGTTCACCGGTGAACGACGATTTCACGCCCCTATTTTTCAACAAACACCGTGCGTATTAGGGAGCCTACATGAACGGCCGTTTTTAGGGTGATGTCAGCCTTTGACCCACTACATGCCCTCAACGCACAGCCGCCCGCCAAAACACAATGTTGCCAGACAGCAACGCCGCGCTGTCGCCCTATCTTGGTGCCCGCACTGCGTCTACGCCCGGTTGCGTTTAGTTCTCAATAATACGGCGTCGAACGTTGCGGTAGCGTGTTAAACGCTGCCGGTGAAGCCTTAGAATGCCTGGATGCTGCGTACCACTCTGCACTAACCACAACAGAAAGGGGGTGCGAATGTTCCGCTTCCCAGCGAGCCCTGGCCGACGACAACTATGGCTGGCTCAAGTGAAGCGAGACGGCTGGGAGCCCACCAGTGCATCTCGTATTTGCTCTGTGAGTACTGCGTATTTCGTTCACTGTTTTTTCCTGCGGCACACGTATATGTGTTTCGCGGTGTTCGCGAATGAGTAGATAACCGAAGTTGTCGTTGCTGTGTCCACGCATTGTGAGTAGGAATCCCACAAATGGGATGCGTCCGCGCGTTCGTACGGAAACGTGCTCGCTAGTCTGAGCTGTTGCCACGCTTGCGTTCGTGTCAGTGTAACCTCAGTATTATGTCGCAAGTGTTTGTGTGTGGGCTGCGAATTTCTTCGTGCGCTCACTTTGAGAACTGGGTCGCTTACACGACCCTGAGAACCGCCGCTGTCACTCGGTCGGCTCCTTTTTGTTGCGCCGTACTTCGCGTAGCTGGAGGGAGCGGCTGCTGGCTCCAAAATGGCGGCGCACAGAAAACTATGCTGAATTTGGTGGAAGCTGGCAACAGCGTGCCCCGTTGCCCGCTGGTTTTGGCTGAGTTTCTTGAAGGCACTTATTAAGATGTCTCCACCCTAAAAACGACCGTTCATGTAGGCTCCCTAGTGCGTATGGACTTGCAGCGCCATCTAGGCGATTGTACACACACTAGAATTTCTGTTTCTGTACGGTTCGCATTTTTACCGTGTGGCGCTGATTTTTAAAGGGCGCACCCATTCAAAGGTTGAAACGCACGTGATCCGCGTGATGGCGTCAACATCCGAAACCACGCGCGCTCGGAAAAAAGCGATTTCGCTCGATGCCGACGTCTCGACGAGCGATCTTTTGGATTTCTCAAGCAGTGAGGAATCGGACAACGATGGGGTGACATCGAATTTCAGCTCCAATGAAGAAATTTTATCAGATCAGCCGGGAACGTCAGCTGTTAGTCGTAAGTTTGGTTTTCACCTTTTGTTTTGTTTATCGTGTTCTGGAGCTGGCTGACTTGCTCTGTATGTGTCCCACATATTATTATTATTTCTAGCGTGTCTACTTCATTTGGGCGCGATGTGCTGCCTCCAGCACAAAGACACGTGGACTTCCGACCCCAGAGGGATCCGGGCATCGACCTCGGCATGACGCTCCGCAGTAGTGCACAATTTATAGCTTGAGAAGTTCTTGAGCTATAACTTTCATTTTTTCAATCCTACTCCAATACGCTGTTTTAAATATTTTGCATCTCTCATAACTTTTCCATAATTTTTTACTCGGAATATATAAGTATATCATTACGACATTTGTTGTGAACAAACCTAATTATTTGTGTTTGTCAATTTTTGTTACCTATTTAGATCTGCCAGTTCTTTTGTCAAATGTACCTTTCAAACCCTACATTTAGTACTTGCATTTTGGTATGTAATATTTTGCTGAAAAATTTTTTTTCTTGAAAAAAGAAAATCTCGCGTAGGACCAACTCAGAACTTCACTATTTCGCTATGTATCAGGCTATTTTTTTGTAACTAAAAAACAGCTTCGTCAATTTTAACAATATAATGTTGCCCTGTGATTACTAAACATTTTGTATATTTCAGAATTCCTCAGAAAAATTTTGTGTCGGAGATATTGCTTCGTTTTTTTAAAAAAAATTCTTGAAAATTTTGTATTTTTTGTATACTAATTTTTTGTGCCAAATAAATTTCTAAATTTCTTTTATTGTTTCAAAATAAAAAGCATTCAAAAGTACGTTCATTCGTCTTTATTTTGATGTATTGCATGGCACTGTAAACCTAGTAGCAATGGCACAGAAAATTCCTAGCTGCAACATGCAAAAATAGGCCAATTTTCCCGTGGTAAGGAAAGAGTTAAGGCCAGCCAGATGAAGGTGCAACTAGGTTTTGATTTGAACAATACTTTCATGTGGCATAGTGGAATGTCAACACCAGAACAAGGCCTATTTTTTTAGCGCACACCTCTGTTTCAGGACAAGAAAATGCTAAGACTTGACAAGGTGGACAATGCGGCTCATGCAGTTACAAGATATTACAACTCATATGATCTCTAAAGCAACATTTTCATTATTTTTATATTAACATAAAACTTTTGTCAGGCATAAGTTCAAACCCAAAGAAAATAATACATAACCAAAAAAGCAACATTACATAAATCCTGTCTGTGCAAGCTCACTTCAGAAACAAAATATGTCAAATGTCACTTTTAAACAAGAGGGCAAGAAATGAACATTTCTTAGTTATATTTTTCAGCACCTTATGACTACCTGTTCATTTAAAAATTTTTCTGGGCTTATTTTGCAACATGCTAAACATGCAACAAAACGTATCTTGCCTCTCCTGTGTCACAGTATTTCACAATCGGACGCAAACTGAAAAATCACACACACACACAAAAATTTGATAGCTTTTGCATACAATTTAAAATTACAATCCTCTCCGATTTAAACCAACTTTCTCAATGATTCTCAATTTTCATCAGTTAGGTATTTCCCTTAAAAACATGTGGCATCATTTTGTTCCGAGTACAAAATGGAGGTAAAAATATCGTTCTTTGCGCTACAATTGTCAAGTTCCACAATGCTTGTCTTTTGAGTGTCTTGTCTTGCGAGCCTCAAATTTCTTAAGGCTTCCATTCGTGCCACGAAATAACAAGCCCTTTCAAGTGCCACTGAGGGGCGCAGGTGCCTTAAATAAAAAAATACAAACTTCTAGCTCTAACAACAGTGGCTCACTGGATATTTTGTTTTCTGATGCAGGTTCAGAAACACTTGCAAAGACTCTTCAGTACTTAGTACATTAACAAAAGTTGAATAGGTACCACAATCCGACGCCTTCTACTACAGACTTTCTGCAAAGCTCTGCTGTTGCTTTAAAGTGATAATGAGAATGTTTCATCAATTAAATGATCAACCACAAACATTTCCCACCCAAGTTTATTTATTTTGCCTTCTATACTCTAATTACCTTTGTATCAGCTGTACACAAGTGTTTTCACATTCCAAAGAATTTCTAGCTTATGCTCTCATGTTGAACCAAATTCCATAGCCTCTTGAATAAGTTCATGAGATTTTTATCAATGCACAAGCTTGACTCTTTTACACGCCTGGAACAGTCGCACTTTGACTTTCTGTCAAAGTGCGACTGGTGCCTTAAATGTCCCTGGTGTTTCCTTAAATTTGAATCATTTCAGAGTTTGGTTGCTACATGACAGAACTATTTCATGTTGTAGAATTAAAGGTTCATCTTTTCCCTTACGCATGCCTTTTAAATGGAGAGATTAGTTGTCCAGAAATTGCCAAGGCCCAATTTGATCTCACTGCATGGTGTATGCTACATTCACACGTTTAATGCCTTTTGGCATTTATATAAAAGTATCTTAGCTCCCATGGCATGCAATCTGCAACCTATCTTTACCTGACAATGGCAGTGTGCATGATAAGAGGGACAACCTGTATAATGAATGTGTTCACACATAAATATTTTTCAGTGTCAACTGTCGACGCTGTCCTATATCTTAATTTACTGCAAGTTCATGTCACTAATTCTCTGCTACAAATACAACTTAGGTAGCACACTTCCCATAGCTTCTAAACTGATGGTTCCCTTCATGAGCAAAGGATCTTGCTCTACTCATGCAGACTGAATTTATATGCAATGAACAAATTTATGCGGTCCCAAACAATAGTCACATTAGGCTAAACAGCATAATTTTCATGCATAGCATTTTGCTGCTTACCAGCTAGATGCTCAAGAAAAAGTTGTGTTGCTGGCCCACAGCCATCATCAGACTGTAGTGCTAATGTGGACAACATGGCGTTGCTATGAACTTCCATATCCGACTGGTCAGGGAGGCCACCTGACACCACCAATGTCACAGGAACACCGATGCTAGCAGAATACAATGAGCTTTGCGAGTTGGGCTCATCAGTGCTGGTGCCGCCAACAAGTATGCCGCCAAGCTGTGGTGCCAGGTCTTCCATTCGCCCAACAAAAGAACTACAGCCTCGTGTTGCTGGTCTCGGCTGTTGCTGGCTGAAAAAGATTTTAAAATAATTTAAAAGAACTGATGTCTTCAAGACTAAGTAATTGTCAAGTGCTTCTCAAAAACCAGAGTGTAATGCAAGTCTCAGGTGGCCATAAAAGTTCATGTCCACACAACGATAGGGGCGCTGCCACATCTTTTGGACAAGGTTTTGAATGTGTCCAGTATAAATGGTTCTTCACCAGGTTTATTGGGCATTGAAAACATGCAAGAATGGTGCATTGATTATGAGGCAAGTCATGCCTGGTGGTATTGTAACAATGTAGATAAAAACCAGCTGAAAGTTCTACTAAATGTCTGTGTGCTCTTCTCTTCAAAGGATCTGCTAGCCCCTTTGGCAGGCTGAGCTGACACCCCACATAACGGCCCCTCCATGCCACACACACAGTCTGCAGCTGATGAATAACAGTACCAATGGGGACTCGGGAGTTCCAGTGACAGAATGACACAATGTGACAGAGTGGGTAGAACCAGCTCTGAAGTGTACGATGCAGCAAGGGATGTTTGGCTTCGATGAAAGAAGGTGGTGGATGTTCGTAAGGTAATGAGGAAAACCATCTGCTATGTGGACACAAGTATGCCTTATCACGAAACTTGCTGTAACATTTTGTTTAATCACTTGTTACTGAACATATTACAATTCTAATAATATGCTCCCTGATTGCTCCTCTCCAAATTTTGCAGGGGCACAGTCAGAAATGTTTTGAAGGGTGCACCTCCTTGATGTGAAGTGGGGGCTGGGCAGCCAGACGTGGTCCAGTGCCACTTTGTGTTCTGTTTACCATGGCCAAAAACAATTTCGGTGAGGGGGGGGGGGGGGGGGGGGCATGGGCTTTCTAACAATGCCACTGACGTTTTGCACAACCAATTTTTCCAATACTGCCTGGTGAGACGCCCATTTTGCATTTTACGAAAAATTCTTCCCACAATTTCCTTTAAATGAACAAGCACAGTTATTACAAATCAAATTCAGATGCTTCCCAGCTCTCATGATTTTTTCCCTAATTTTGGTTATTACTGCTATGCAAGTTGTGCCACCATGAACATTTGGAGTAATTTGATGCTTTATCCTTTATCACACTGAGCTTTGATAACATGACCTTGAGAATGAGTGACATGAGCCACCATTGTACTATGTCATCTTGGAGGTCACAGTATCAGCACAGTCATACCATTCTTCAAGCAGTGGAAAAGACAGCAAACAAGAAGAAACAGAATTCAAGTGCAGACCACCAACCAATTTACTGAAACTTTTTGTACTGAAATAATGTGCATACCCTCACAATTGCATACCCTCACAATTCATGCCATGGCACTGACACAACAAAATTAGTGAGACTGCACCCTATCATCCAGAAATGCCTGTGTCACTGACACAGACCTTATTTCTTTTCTGAATAAAATAAGTTTTTTAAGCTGCTAGGGCCCATATCTTACGGTCCTTCAGAAATTATTTTAAAAAAAGGAAACAGTCCCTAACCGCAGGTAACACCATGGATGGACTAATTCGACCTTTTCTTTTGATTATAAGCTGATGCTCTTGTGCCTGGTCATCTATGCAGTATCTCATCTATTGAAAGAGCGCACTGGTACGGCCCGCTGCGTGCTCCAAAACCAGCGTGACAGGTCCAATTCCCGAACCACTGGGGGGGGGGGGGGGGGGGGCAGTTTTCGCAAGTGCCTATGGAATTGCATGCGTGGCGCGCTTGCGGTAGTTTGTTGAGCGCGTGCATCTTGGTGTGACCCACGAAATCTTCTTATATTATGCGTCTGGCATTTGCCCACGAGGTAATTACTGACCTTGCCTTTAGATACCTGCAGCCCTTGCAAATTTATAGTATTGTCTTTCCTGAGATGACACTTTTTGGCACACTACCGTGTACTGGAAAACATGAAAAATATTCAAATTATGTTTTTTTTCATATGCTTTTAGCATATAAAATTTATTAACGTCTATTGTCAAGTGTCCAAGAAAATTATTGTCAAGCATTTGGGCTGAGAAAACGCAAAAGTGCTGAACAAACGTCACAAAAATCAAAATATGTTATTTTATGACATCTTCATAAATAGAACGACTTTGTCACGCATTCAGTGGCATATCATTCAGCTACATGCATTGCACATTTTTCTTTCAGCCTCAAAGCAAGAAGCTGGTTCTGAAAAAAAAAAAAAAAAAACACACATCAGGTGTTCAGCATGCACAGGAACAATCAATTGACTTTTTAACTAGATAGCGCTTCGTAGTCTACCAAATACGCGATATGTCATCGCTGTGATGAATTAGATTTAAAAAAAAACACTGGTTAGAACAACTGAGTGGGTCACTGTTGTGACAAACACCACCTAATTTGCTGCGGCTGCTGCCCAGAGGGAGTCAGTGCCACTCATTTTCCCGTCTCTCCCGTCCCCGCCCCGTCGCGCTGCAGCGACCGCGACTGACCCTACGGCAGACACGCACTCTCCCATAGAAAGCCGCACAACGCGGCAAGCCGTGCCGTGCGCTCTTTCATCCAGCGGTCATGATCATACCCATATGACTTTGCATGACTTTAGAAGTAGCCACCAGAGTGCTTGTCACCACTAAAAAGGACTTATGCGACACCATTGGTGACACGGGCAAAGAGCACAAATTGGGCCTTGTTGCATATACAGCCTGAAGTCATGACATGATACCTGTCGCCAGTGTTGACAAGCTAGAAACAGAACTGATGCTGATGCAATCATGAGAAGCATGTGAATGCAACGTAACGAGATTGCATGGAGCGGAGAATCGCGAATACCAATGATATGTCTTATCAGCTTAAAACAACACCTGTACATGTTGCTTTGTGTAGCAAGAAAGGCACTATTCGTATGAAGAGCGAGTCCTGTTCGTGAGCCTTACTAGCCATCTCGCTGTTAAGGTGGGACAAAGGTCCTAAAATAGTAAACATGTACAAAAATGTTGACTTTCAAAAATTATAACTCGAGGCATTTATAGTCAAAACTACGCTCTGGAAAAATATGCTATAACAAAGTACCTTCTCTTTCTCTAACAAGTGCAATAGATTAGATTACGAATGTTTTTAAAATTTGAAACAATTTTCTTGGCTTTGTTATGTTTGTGAAATGAATCTGCCATACTGAAGTTTTGAGGAAGTTTCCGTGTACATATTTAAACAAACTTGGTATCATTCTCTTTCACTGCAGGCTATTAACCTTGATAGAATAGTAATCAGTTGATAAATACCAGGTAATTCACAGGAAGCTCAATGTATGTATGACAATACAAGAATCCTATTTCTTACAATTTTTTTTTTCAACGTCAATCACGACCCTTGCATAAATAATGTTACTCAAATGGTAGCAGGGAATCAACTCGAGTACAAAGTCCCCACTGACACATAGAATAGAATACCTTACTGCCAAGTAGCCAATACATCTTTATCCCCATTCAGAGCAACTGAAAATCATGTGAACTTTCCAGAAGAGACCCTTCATCCTATTGTCTTCTAGTCTTTTTAAGGCATGTACAATGCCGTCCACTTTTAGGGCAAATGCGGCTCAGTGTGCTCGCACTCTCCAAAGAACTAGTGCATCCAGTGCGGCTGCACATCAAAGCAAAAGTGGGGCAGGTGCACAGAGACTCAAGGGAGGTACTACATCAGATCATCTGCTGCCGTGATAGAGTGCGCCGCTTTTCCTTAATTATAATGCAGCAAGAGCATCGCATACCCGTGCATCGGCGCCATTTTGTTTTGATGCGCAACTGTGCTAGATGCACAGGCACTTCACGAAGCGCGACCACGATGAGCAGTGTTAACCCTAAAAGTGGATGGCAGTGTAGTTAAAAGCACCTCTTAAGCCTTGAGGGGTGCTCAACAACTCTTAAAAATATGCGAGGTTTAATGTACCAAAACCCACCATATGATAGTTTGCAGATTAATTTTAAGACATACCTTTCTGCTCTCCTTGTCTAACTCCGTAATCATGAAATGCAATTCGCTCCCTTAGTTACTTAGCAATGCAATGTCATCGGCAAAGCGCAGGTTACTCAGGTACTCTCCATTAACTCTTATTCCTAACTCTTCCCACTCTAGGCCTCTGAAAACCGCCTGTGAGCACACAGTAAATAACCTTGGCGAGATTTTATTCCCTTGCCTTACACCGTTCTTGAGTGATATTCTATCACTTTTTTTATGAAGCACTATGATGGCTGTTCATCCCCAGTAGATTTCTTCCAGGATGTTTACATATGCTTCGTTGACGCCCTGATTTCGCAGTGTCTGCATTACTGCTAATATTTCTACTGAATCAAATGCTTTCTTGTAATCAATGAAGGATATATGTACAACTGTCTGCTAATGTCCGAACATTAGCAAAACATGAACTACGAAGGGCATCTGGAAATCTCGTAAACTGAACAACTATATTCTGTCAGTGACGTACTGAACTTACACGAGTGTTTATGTACTTTAGAAATGCAACCAAGACTGTCATAGTCGCAAATAAGTAGCACACTTTTGGCGTGCGATACTCGATCGGTACCAGAGACCGGCACTGCACCAGTATCGATTTTCTCTTTCTGGCTACCTGCGGGCTGCCAGATGCCAGAGCCAGCCAGAGGGCATTCGTTTTTTTCGGGCTGCTCCCCCCCCCCCCTGCAGCGCACTTTCGGTTGGCGTTTGTTATTCACGGGTTGGACGGCTTTGGCTACCCGCGGGGAGCCAGAGGGTCGCCAGATGCTTCCAGAATAATTATCGTGGAAGCTCTCAGGAAGGTTTCGTGCTAGCAGACGCCGAAAAGATACGATGTGCATTCGCCGCCATCTTTGTGAGGACTCTATGGGTTGAGATGCGGGCGCATGGGGACTGCGCTTTCGCTTTTCATTACGCGTGGCGTCATCTTCTAAAGTCTGTGCCTCCGTGCAAGATGGGGCCATTACGAGTGGCGGCGAGTGTTTGAAGCTACTATCGCTTTAGTTACGTTTCGCGTGAAGCTTCCTTACGTG